TGCATGCGGACATAGAGGCGGCAATCGCGGCGGCGGCGGCGGAGGAGGAGGGGGAGGAGGAGGAGGAGACCGGACCGCCCACTCCGCCGCCATCCTCATCCCCACCACCGCCGTCGCCACGGAGCTAGTCTGAAATTTGACGGAAAAACACGAGCGAGCAGCTCGTGAAAAGAAAATAGAAAAGAAAACGGCGAAATGGTATAACACAGTACACGTTGGTGGCTTACTCGTCGATACTCCATAAGTACACCATATGCGGAGAGATCAAAAAGTAATATATCTTTACTTCCAAAACCCGGACGTGCCTCCACCGGCACGCCGCTTCCGACAGGGTGATGGAAGGTTCGACGCACCCCCGGACTGGGCAGAGAGATCCCAGTGCATCTGCGCTGGGCTGTCCACCCCGCCCCCACTTGCCCTGACTGCACAGGATAGCGTGCCCCGACAAACGGCGACACATAGCGGGGGACACTGCGCCGGGGGGTATGCCTAACTTTGGTGCTTTGTGTGGGTCGCGTTCCCTTGGTAGCTGTGTGGCTGAAGCCCTCGTGCCGCTGGCTTGCCCCTTCCAGCGGCTGGCCCCTCGAGACTGTCGGTGCTTGGCGGGAGGAGGGGGAGAGGGAGGCCCGGTGGGAGGAGAGGGAGAGGGAGGCCCGGTGGGAGGGGAGGGAGAGGGAGGCCGTCTTGGGCTCTTCTCCTCCCCCCTCCCTGGGCTCTTCTCCTCTCCCCACCCTGGGCTCTTCTCCCCTCCTCCCTGGTACTCTCGGCCTGATTACCGGAGCGACTGCCGGAGCAGACGCTGGGGGGACACTCGCGCCCGGAGGCGGTACGCACGACCCGGAGGCGTGGGGGTGGGGGGGGGCCGCGCCGCCGCCGCCGTGCCGCCTTCTCCCGCTTTGACCTCCCCCAGCTGCTTCTCCTCAAATCAACCTGTGAGCTTGCGAGGCGGCGGGGGTGGGAGTGCTCTCGGGCGGCGTGTGCGAGCGCGCGCGGCGCGAGATCTCTTTCGCGAGGGCACGGTGGGTCGGGTGAATATCTCGCGCGCTCGCACTATTTTACGTTATATCAAGCACTGCCTTTGATGCCTTTGCAAGAACCGCCAGCGGCGGTGGTCGAACCGGTTCGCGGTTCGAGCCGGGACCTTTTGGCTCCCGGTTCGGAACTCGCTTGGAGGGTTCACATTCCGTGAGTTCGTCAACGGGCCGATCATCTCTCCAAGTCGACTGCGATCTCGAACTCCGACAACTGGACCGGTGCACCAGCCGCGGAGGACGATGGCTCCCTCGACGACATCCCTTCATCGACGGACGCCTTCACCGCCGCCGGCCCTGGGCCATCCAGCGCGGCCTCCGACGGCCTGCACGTGATCGAGCGGGTACAGAAACGGTGGCTGCCCGGCTCACACCCTAATCGATCTGCCTTAGGCACGGAGCCAACGGAGCCATCGCGCATGCCCGCATCGCGTGCGGCTCCGAGGTCTCCCGCCGAGACCGGCTCGGCGCGGCGCGTGGCCGCACGCCGCCGTTGAAAAGGCGAGATAGGACCGAGGGGAGAGCGCCGGCCACATCGAGCGAGCGCTGACGTGTAAGGTGTCTGTGCTGCTCCGGTGTGTGTGGGATTCTGCCTCCCCCCCATCTGTGCGGCGAGTTGTTTGCGGCGCGATGCCCGATCGTGCGCGATAGCCTCCCATTGTGCGTGGTGTGTCGGTGTGTCGGGGTCGTCCGGAGCGTGTGGCGGCGCCGTTGCCATCAGCGACTGCTCCACGTGCCACGACTGCTTTGACTGACGTGACTGACTGTGATGAGACATGAGAGCTGATGCGTGATGGATGATCTCCGACAACCCAAAACCAAAATGCAAATGCGGAGTGGCCCACTTTGGCGTGCAGATCCTGCGTCTCTCACTGCCCGAACAACAGAGACGGGTACCGCCGCAGGTCCCACACTAGTTCACCATAGTCCGCGCGTCTTTCTTGCGGCTGCTGTACGCCCGCTCGCCTCCGCAACCTCGTTCGCAGACATGGAGTGCTGCCCTCCTTGCGGCGGCAGCTTGGAATTGACGCACCCAGCTGGGACAGATCTGACTACTTGGCTCGACGCTGGCGATGAGCCTTCTGAGGGTTCGGTGTCCCGGCTTCGCCTCCTGATTCCACACCTGCGCGACGCGCGGATGGCATTGCTCCTGCAAGACATGATCTCTGTGAGTGGCGGCCAGGTCGTCGCCACTGTTCCCGGAGACGAGCACGATAGCCTGCTGGCCGCGTTCTTCGACTTGGGAGTCGAGTTTGACGACGTCGTGACCACGCAGTACCGTCCGCCGTGGTTCATGCAGGCAGACAAGGTCGCGCACCTCACAGCGCCGCTGCCCTTCCGGCAAGCGCGGGAGCCGCACCGGATCACCCTTTATATCTGCGACCACGTTGCCGATGGCGCTTTTGGGCCGCACAACGCCGGTGCGTTTGAGCGAGGTGCAGCGAGCCGCCGCCGCCGCCGCCGCTGCTCTTACAAACAGCGCCCGCCCCTGGCCCTTTGTCCAACCCGTCCCCTCCCCTCTGACGCCGCAGTGCTCGACGAGGAGATGGCGCGCACGCCCCCGAAGGGCGGGCGGCGGGCGGCTCACACGGAGAAGCTCGTCTCTCTGCTGGCGCCGGGCGCGCGCGTCCTCCTCCGGTGCAGCGAGCACCGCCCCGAGCTTGATGGCGCAGGCCGAGACCCGCTCTGGAGCCTCTCGGCGGCAGAGGTGCAGGGCCTCTTTCGAGGGGCGGCCGTGCATCACATAACGGCGCCAAACGTGCCGCTGTTTGGAGGGGGCGACCGGCGGCAGCAGGCGGTGCACTCCTTGATCGTCGCAACCAAGGACGGCAGTGGTGCGTACTTTCGCCCGCCCGCATGTCCGTGCTGCCGGTAAAGTATCAGAGACATATACTCGGGTGTATTTCAGACGTGGAGTTCTGGCCTCATGTGGACTCCCCTGTGCGGGGCCCGCTGCCCCGCTGCCCGCTCCGCAAAATCCCCACACGTCACACACGTAGGTCGTGGCTCGTATTACTCGATCGTACGACGTACGTGCTACGTCGTAGGTTCCTCCGCGCTCCGGCCAGATGCAGATCGTCCGGCATTCGACACCTTCGACATTCCCGCGCCGGGGTGATCGCGTCGACACGCGCCGGGCGGCCACGAGGGGGGCCGCGCTTGCAACGCACAAGGCGTAGGTAGGTAGGTAGTAAGGTGAAGAACAGCCAGGCTCGGACTGGACACCAACGCGGTATGGGTGGACGCTAGACAGATGATGACGTCACGCACGAGCGAAGGCGTTTTTGCAAAATCTCAAAAAAGAATTTGACCGACGCGTACCGCGGCAACTGCCCTGGCGGTGGCTGCTCGTGTGTGTACGGCCGCCGCTTCCACCACCGTGCCGCCTTCGCCACACGAGCGACACGCTCGAGCTATGCCGCCACCGCGTCGACGAGCGCCCGCGCCGCTCGCAGATCACTACGCGGTGCTCGGAGTAAGCCCGGACGCCAGCCTCGCCGAGATCAAGCGCGCATATCGAGCTCACGCACGAGAAGCTCATCCGGACAAGGTGGGCGAGACGGCGGCGGCAAACGACCGCCTCGCAAGCCTCAACACCGCCTACTCAACACTCAAAGACGAGGACGCGCGGCGTGTCTACGACGCGCAGCGGGCAGCGGATGCGGTGCTTGGCGGGGGTGGACCGGGCGGCAAATGGTCGCGGTTGGCACGGAACTTAGGGGCGCCGTCCCGCGGGGTCCGCTGGGTCGCCGTCGGCCGGACAGGGAGACCAGCCTTTGGGTGCCTCTCACCCGTTGCCGAGGCGTCTCCCTTCAACGCGGCCGAGCTTCTGTCGCCCGCAGCGATGCCAGTGATCCTCTTTGTGCATCTCTCCGACTCCCGACGTGCATCTCTCGAGCGTTGCAAGCGGGCGGCGCGAGAAGTGGCCGCTGCCGCGAAAGCACTCCAAGGCGCGGCGCGCGTTGTCGCCATCGACGCCGAGTCCCAGGCTGAGCTCGCGAAGGCAGTAGGAGCCGCGCAGCAGGGAGACGACTCTCCGTACCCTCGGCTACTCCTCTTGCAGATGCGGGGCGGGGCGCCATCGGCGGTGCCGCTGCCGCCGCCGCACTCCGCCGCCACGCTGATAGAGGAGGCCGCCGCTTCGCTGCCGCGCCTGCCGATGGTCTGCACAAGGGAGGACCTGGCCCGGGCACGCCACGGGGGCCCCTTCGCATTGGCCAACCACCGGCTGCCGAGGTCCTTCACTATGCGGCTGCGCATCGCGTGCGCCGCCGAGGGAGCGCCAGCGGCACGCAGCCCCGCCCTCCGCTGCGGCGTGCTGCGCGGCCCCTCTTGCGCACTCGCCGCGGACTTTCTCTGCGAGGGCGTCGCGCTTCTCGGCGGCGACCGCTCCTCCGCAGACGTGGGCGGGGCGATGACGCGGTGCGTTGGCGCCGACGAAGCGGGCGCTGCTCTGCGCCGGAGGAGGGAGGCACGAGAGGGCTCGGCCGGCGAGGGAAGCGTCGGCGACACGCCCGCGGACGTGGCGGAGCAGGCGGCAGCGTCGGCGCTGCACGACGCGGTCGCTGCGCACGCGGCACGTGCACGCGCGAGCGGGGCGGCGACGGCGGCGGTGGCGCGCCTGAGCGATGCGTCCGCGCCGTGCGCTCGATGCTTCGCGCGAGGCGTTCTGGCTGCGCGGCGGGGCCCCGCGGCCCAGATCCTGCTGCGGTCTGAGGCCGTCCCTCTCCTTTTCGTCGCGTGCCTCTGCCTCTGGCGCGCGACGGCGCTGGCCGCGAGACTGTTGCGGGCTGTTGCCGCCTTCCGGTGGGCTCGGTGGGCCCGGCGGTGGCGACGACGGGTCGTGAAGCAGGCCAAAGCCATCGGCGTCTACGCCCTGATCTCGCAGCGGATTGATGACATCGCGAGCGTTCTGGGGTGATAAAGACGTAGAGGAGTGTTATTCGTCCAGAAATGATGCGCGGTGCATTTGAGTGTAAAGTAAGGTTGTAAAGGTAAAGTAAACGGTCAAAACTCAGACGCGAGAGCGATGGAGATAGTGGGGCGCACCCCACACGCTCCACTACCACACACACACATCCGACCTCTGTCTCATCACCTCCCAACCTCGCCACGCGACGCACCGGAGCTCACGAAGCGGCGGCGGCCTCGCAGTGCCTCCGGAGCTGTCCAACACGAATAGAGGACACGCCCGAGAAAGGTACCCAGAAGAGGAGCGCGTTTAGCAGTGGCGCGGCCGGCACCGTGAGTGGGAGGAGCCCTGCCGACCATCCGACGGCGCTAACTTTTGTGCCGCCCGAAGGCCCTGCAGAGAGTGAGAGGAGAGTCGGGTCGAGCCAGCCGAGCTTCGTCACCGTGTAGAGAGTCAGCGTACGCCCCGTCGCTGGCTGCACCTCCATCCATGAGTTGTATGGCTTCGGGTCGGTAGTCATCTCGGCGACAGCCGCGCGTAGAATCTGTGCACATTCATCAACAGGGCAATCGAGCGTAAACGAGCAGCTTCCGCGCGTCGTGAGCCACGCCATGCTTGGCACCCGCATGGCGAGCCAGCCCTGCAGCGGGAGCTGCGCCGTCTCCAGTTGGCTGAGCTCGCGCATTAGAACGCGTTCGCGGCGCCCTGGCGAGGTACCTAGGTACAGGCACACGACGCGGCGAGGCCTCGAACAACCCAGGTCCTCTACCGGGTAGGAATAGTCTTGCGGGGGGGGGCTCTCTCCGCGCCGTAAGGTAGGACAGCAGAAAAAGAATTTTCCGGGGTCGTTTGAAGTCCGAGCGGTCTTCCTAGGGTACTCAGGGTGGGCGTTAGTTGCGGGCAAAAAGAATTCGCGCGTGCGAGGAATCGAGAGGAAGGAGGCATCGACGGCAGCTGGCCCCTACGACTGGAGCACCGCGCTCCGCCCCGGGGCGGCTGGACGTTCGCCGACGTTCTCCTTCCCGGGCAGCATTGATGTCGTCCGGGCAGCGGCCGCCATTGCTCCGCCGCTGCACACGGCACAGCCACGACATCTGGTGCGACGCGTCTCTGCAGGACTCCTTCTCTGTCCGCCACGACCTCTGGAGCGGCGACATATCTCTGCATCGGCAGGACTCGTTCTCTGTCCGCTCGGCTCACGAGCACCTCTTTTCAGTGCGCTCCTTCCGCTTTGACGACTCACGCATTCCGCACGCCACCCTGTCGGCTGACGCGGCGGCGGCGCTGAAGCGCGCCCGCGCCGCCTGCCCAATCTGCCTGGAGGGCTATGAGGTCGGCCAGAGCGTCGGGTGTATGCCCTGTGGGGGGCTGCACAAAGCGCATCGGGAGTGCCTCACGCGCTGGCTCGCTCGTTGCCCATCGTGCCCCACCTGCCGTTGGGATCTGCGCGATGCGGTGGCCACCTACTGCTCCATCGCCGTCGACAGTGGGTCAGGATCGGGCCGCAGCGTAGAGGAGCTCCTCTGTCGCGGTGAGGCCGAGCTGCGGATGCTTTCGCACAGAGGGAGGACGCCTCCCTCGCCCTCCACCACCCCGTCCACCCTCTCGCGGCGCAGCAGCGCGGAAGACAACTCAAACAGAACCCTCGCGCAGAAACGCTCCTTCGATCGGGTTCGCGGCGCGTGTCCACCGCCGCTCCGCCGAGCCACCTAGGTTGAGCTCAAATGCCTTGAGACAGACTAATCTCTAATGGTCGAGCACCGTACACCCTGGCTCTCGATGCCCTGCTCTCTCTCGTCTCTGCTGTCAGTGTGTGCGCAGAGCGTGTGGCGCAAATTGTATTATTTGACCACACTTTTTAACAGCCCGATGGGGCTGTTTTCCGAACCGGAGTGCGAGAGAGCTCGACGACTAATGACTCGCGCGAACAAAAGAGGAACTCTCATGTGCGTCTCACGCCGTCACGCACGCGGCCACACGGTCGGGCGGGTGTGGCCCTGGGGCCCGTGCCCCTGGCTGCCCGTCTTGGCACCTCGCTCGCCGCGCAGGAGCGCTCGTCAGGGAGTCCATATCGCTCACTGAGGCAGCAACCTCGCCAGCAGATCCTCTGCGCGCTCCTCGTCGTTCCGCACGCCCTGGGCCGACACCCGCGCCCGCTTGACGCGACGGCGCTCGGCGCGCGGCGGCGCCTCCGCGCCCCCCGCATCGCTGTCGCCGCCCTCGCCGCCCTCGCCGCCCTCGCTGCCGCCCTCCTCGTCGCCCTCAGGCGAGCCGAGCACAGCCACGCCGCCCGATTGTTTCGGCCGTCCTGCATCATGGGAAGACGAGCCCAGGTGGTGAGGGGCTGTCTGCACGCCTCGCGACTGCGTCTAGGAAGGGTCGGGAAGGGTCGAGAAAACATCTCGGAGGCGGCGCCTTGCGCATCGAGCCCGTCCGCCTCCGCCACCGCCGCCTTGCGCTTCTGCTTTTGCAGCTGGTGCCGCTCCCGCACCCGCCGCCGCTCGCGCTCCCGGTCAGCGTCGGCGGTGGCGGCGAGCGCCTCGCGCACAGCCCGTGCGCGCAGCTCCGGGTCCTGCGCCGCTGCAGCGGCCCCCTTCTCGGAGACCACGGCGGAGAACTCGCCACCTGGGGAGGGAGGGGAGGGAGAGGTCGGCAGCCGCGGCTCTCGCCGAGTCACTCTCCACGCAAGAGTCCCACACCCCCCCGCGGGGGTCCTCCACTGTGCATCCCAGCCGCACATCTCGGCGACGCCTCACCGAGCCGCTCCTCTAGCGGCCTCCCATCCTCGTCGAAGACGGTCCGCTTGCCGCCCGCCACGGTGCCACCCTTGCGAATCTTAATCTTCTTCGGCCGCGGCGGGGCGGCGGCCGCCTCAGTGATGCCCTCCGCCCCCTCCGCGTCGCCCTCTGCAGCGCCGCCCGCCTCCTCCGCCTCCTCCGCCGGCAGAAAGGTGCGCTTCACTGTGAGCAGGTCGTCCGCCTCCGCCGCAGGCGCGCCTACAGCAGCCCGCACCTCCACACGCTCAGGACACTCTCCCGTGCCGCGAGAGCCCGCGCCTCGCGCTGACGCCGCACCCGCCTCACCCGCCTCGCGCGTCGCCTTTGCGAAAGAGCCTCTCCGCTCGGCCGTGTTGCGGTCGAGCAGCCGCAATAGCTTGTTGCGCGAGGCCACCTTGCGCGCCCTGCCCGGCAGGACCAGCCCGTCCTCCCCACCCCCCTCGCTCTCCTCGCTCTCCTCGTCCCCCTCGCTGCTCCCTCCCGCCGCCTGCCACCCGCCTCGCGCACTCGACGCGCCGCCGCCAGCCAACAGAGCCTCCTCCTCCCCCTCCTCCGCCTCGCTCGCCCCCTCCTCGCCGCTCGCCTCGCCGCGGCCCTCGCCCGCGCCGGCCCAATTCTTGGCCGCCTCCTTCGCCTTACCGCCGCCCGACAGGCTGCGCACACGCGGCGCCGCAGCGAGGCCGTAGCTCTCGGCGAGCTTTTGCAGCGGCAGCGACGAGGCGTCGAACACCGCTTTGTCCGCCTGCAGCTTGACCGAACGCACGTACGACACCAGGGCGCGCTGCGCCGTGTACTTGATGTCGGCGCGCTGCGAGAGCAACGCGCGCAGCTTTGGCGCGAGGGCGTGCACCTGCTCACGCCAAAACAGTGAACCTCTCCAACGGCCGTTGCGGCTTGGGCGCGCGCGGCGTCCGCCTGCTGCTTGTTCGGTCGCAGCCGCTGCGTCGCGATGCGCGCGGCCGAGAGCTGGTCAACGAAGGCCTTTTCGGAGGGCGAGAGGAGGAGGAGCGCGCGGCCGCTGGCGGTGTGCCGCGCCGTGCGGCCAGTACGGTGGATATAGGTGGCAACGTCTTCGGGCGCGTCGGCCTGCACCACCCACTGCACAGTCGGGAAGTCGAGCCCCCGCGCGGCGACGTCGGTCGCAAACAGCACCGCGTGCTTCTTTGCGCAGAACTCAGTGTAGACGGCCAGCCGCTTCATCTGCTTTTGCCGGCCGTGCAGGCAGAGCAGCGAGACGCCCGGGCGCAGCGCGGAGAAAGCGGCATGCACGAAGGCCACCTGTGCGGGATGGAGCCTGGGCTGAGCCGCGATTGAGCCGAGCTCGAGCCGCGATTTGAAGAGGGCGGCCCGCGGCCGCCTGCTTGCACGAGGAGAGGAAGCAGATGGTCTTGGCCTGCAGGTGGGACCGCACGAACCCCCAAAGCACGTCAAGCTTCTGCTCCGGCTCGATCAGCATGTGGTGGTGCTGCAGCCGCGTCGGCGTGGCCGTCTTCGAGGCGGCGTGCACCGAGATGTACTGCGGCTCCGAGAGGGAGAGGGAGGCGAGGTCGGCGACGCGCCTGGTCTGCGTTGCCGAGAAGAGCAGGGTCTGCCGCTTGCGCGGCAGCTCCTCGAGGATGGCCGCCATCGTCTGCTTGAAGCCGAGGTCGAGCAGCCGGTCGGCCTGAGGGGGCAGTGAGCCTCTTCCTCACTTAATGACGGGCTCACTCCTCATTCAATTCGAGCAGAGCCGGTCGGCCTAAAGGCGGAGTGATGGGGCGACGGGCTGGTGGCCAGGTTCCAGGGAAGGCCTCGGAAGGCCGCTCAGGAGGAGCCGTATCACAGCCTCATCTTCTCGGCCGTATCCCGGCCGTATCTCAGCCCGATCTCGGCGTTGCCTCGTCGAGGACGAGCATCTTGACGTTCGAGAGGTCGAAGCCGGCCTATGGGACACGTCGCGGACGACATGTCGCGGACGGTGTCGCCTCCGAGGCGTCGAGAGGTCGGGAGGCGGCCGTCTGGTCGATGTGGTGAAGCAGCCGGCCTGGCGTGGCGACGAGGATGTTCATCGGCGCGATCCGCGCCGCCTCCTCCTGCTGGTCCTTGCCTCCGATCACGAGCCCAGCAGACAGGTCGTGCTTCTGGCCGAGCGTGCGCAGCACGTCAAAGATCTGGAGAGCGAGCTCGCGGGTCGGCGAGACGACGAGGCCACCCAGCCGGTCGAGCGCACTCCACCGCTCGCGCCACAGCAGCTCGAGTAGCGGCACCAGGAACGCGAGCGTCTTGCCTGAACCGGTGCGTGCTGCTGCGAGCACATCGCGCCCAGCGAGGGCGTGGCCGATGGTTGCGCGCTGCACGTCGGTCATCTTCTCCCATTTGCCCCTGGCCAGCCCCGCGAGCGTCCGCCGCGAGAGCGGCAGCTCCGAAAAGCGGCGCGCGCGAGAGAAGGTCACCTTGCCGTCCGCCTCGACCTCTTCCGCATCGGTGAGGAGCGGGTTGCTGCCGGCCTCGGGCGCCTCCGAGATGACACGCTCGCGCAGCTCAGCCAGCTCGTCGGCATCGCCGCCGCCGCTGCGACCCTGTCTGCGTGGCATCGAGATTTATGGCAGGCTCCCCGGCGGTGGCAGGCTGCTCACAGGAGTGGCTCACAGGTGGACTCGTCGCCACAGGGTTCGGCTCCTAGCAGTCGAGGGGTGGCGTAGCGGGCCAAGCCATTCCGGGGCGGGGGCAAACAAATGAGTAGGGAGGGCGTGTTTTTCTCCTATTAGCCGGGTAGGGGGGAGCGCTTCCCGCTCATAGGCGCAGGGCTCGACCGGCATGCGGTCGCCAAAGTGAGTGAGCTCGGTCGCCTGCGCATCCTGCCAGCGGCGGCGAGCGCGGCGGAGGGGAAGGTGGCGGCGGCGTGGGCGGCGGTGGCGACGTCGAGCCGGAGGGCGGCGGCGGCGAGCGCGGCGGAGAGGGGAAGGTGGCGGCGGCGTGCTGGGCGGCGGTGCCGGTGGCGAGGGCGAGGCGGCGCTCCCTGGCTCTTTGGTATTGACAAAACCCGAGCATGCGTCTCATCGGTTTTGCGGACGACATCTGCCAGAACGACGAGCCCTCGCGCGCCGTCGCCGCCTACTCCGGACCAAAGGGCCTCCTCGAGGCGCAGAAGAAGGGAGCGAGCGTCTTCGACGGCGTCGGCAAGTCGCTCATCTACTCGCCCGAGGGCGACCTCTCGTGCGCGCCGGGCTGGCTCCGGGGCTCGCCGGCGCACCGCGACAAGGAGGGCAAACCCACGGGGCGAGTGGACTGCTTCAAGGCCGTCGGCACCTTCTTTGGCGACCCGGAAGCCTGCAAGAAGGAGCTCACCGCGCACCTCAGGAAGAAGCTCGCGCCGCTCGACGTCATCGACACGATCGTCGACACTGACTGCGTCACGAACACCTCGCAGCTCCGCCTCAACCTCGTCCAACGGATTGCCTGCGCAAAGACCAAGTACATTGCCGGCATCACGCCGCCCAATGTCGCGTGCGACGCTCTCGAGTTTGCGCACAACCGCATCCGCAAGTCCTTTGAGAGCATTGCTCGCGCCGACGCCTCGCCCCAGGCGCTCCGCGACCTCGCGTGGCTCCAGGCGCAGCTGCCGACCGAGATGGGCGGGTGCAACATCGACACCGCCTTCTCGCGAGCCGACAGCGACTTCTCCATGTCGCTCCTCAAGAACTGGCGCACCCTCGTCGCCCACAACCCCGACTTCGCCCACGACGAGGGAGGTGCGTCCAAGTACCCCGCCATCGCCGCAGCTATCGCCACCTACGAGTCCGCCCTCTCGGACTGGAAGGAGGTGTGCGAGAAGCGCGCCGCCCGCGACAAAAACAAGTACTACACCGTCCGCGGCGGCTACCTGACTGAGTTCTACCCCAAGAGCGTCCCGCTCCCCGAGCCCGAGTCCCTTCCAGCTACCGACGCGATTCTCAATGGCACTTGCAAATCCACGTACCCGCGGCCGCGGGCGCTCGCTGCCATCAAGAATCACAAGGACTGGTACGCGCACCAGGAGCTCGTCAAGGCGCGGGATGTGCACGTCAAGAACAACCCGTCCCTCGGAGACAGCGCCGTCAACAACC